AAAGCATTTTTATTTCTCTAGATATAAGTAAATACCTTTATCGATTTAAGCCTGTATTTAGTGCGCATACATAAGATTAATTAGTATGATAATTAGATGGAGTTAGAAGGTAGAGAAACAAGTACGAGCATGCGCGTTTGGATGCAAATAAAAAACAGATATCTCTGACCCCTTCAACGAGTTTGCAATCAATCATTTCCGATTGGAACAAGAGAGAAAAAAGTTTAGTGAAAGTGAAATTCGAATACAAATCCCAAATGAATTTGTCACCAGTCGAACTCGCTTGACAAATCATCGCTTAAAGATAAAAAAAAGGATCTAAAATAATAATTAAAACAAAATTATAATGTGCCAAAAACTACATTAATGAAATACTAAGATATAACTTTGGTCAAATAATGGAGATTTCGTCAGTGATTTAACATAAGATATACAAATAACACAGTGTGGATAAAAGACATAGAAAAGATGAGCTCCAGTAGAAGGTAGTAAAGGAAAGTTAGAAGAAAGGACTAAACATCAATTTTAGGAAGACAGAATATATGTTTGTCAGCAAAAGGGGCAGCCCAAGATGCTAACCATGAATTGGTGTCACACAAATCCAGCAAGTACAAAAATTTAAATATCTACAAAGTGCTTTAAGAAGTCGGAAATACGATATCCAAAGCCGAAGGCGCGTTAGGCTAGCGAAAGATGCCTTCCAAAAGCAAAATACTGGGGGGAAATCAAACAGGAAAACTTTTTTAGAAACAAAAGAAAAGAGTACTGAACTGTTATTTAATATCGGTACGCCTATATGACAATAAATGCTGGACCATCTCATCACACTATTTACAATATTCGAACTATTGTCCTCATTTTTTTTTGGCATATTCCCAACATTTTGTAACGTCGCCCCGGCCTTCTTCAGGTGGTTGGAGAAAGAAACAAAAAGCGGTAAACGGCCGAAACGTTGTAATAAATATGGCGACAAAGATTAGGAGAATAGTCCGAATAATGCAAATAGTGTACATATTACCTCATCTCAGAAATAAAGACAGATACTGAAAAGCCGAAACGGTGTAATAAATATGGCGACAAAAATGAGGACAATAGTCCCAATGATGTAAATAATATACATAATACATCATCTCAGAAATATACACAGATACATAAGAGGAGCAGATAGTTTCTTTAACGGGAATTAACAGGAGATAACTGATAACTGACATCCATTAGACATGGCACGTGGAACTAGAACAGTCTACCTAGCGAGCGAAATAAAGGGTTCAGTTCGAAATTCCAACCACCTGAAGAAGACCGGAGCGTACAACGGCCGAAACGTTGTGATAAATGGCAACAAAGATGAGGACAATAGTCCGAATAATTTAAGTAGTGTACATAATACTTCATCCCAGAAATATAGACAGATACTGAAAGGCCGAAACGTTGTAATAAATATGGCGAGAAAGATGAGGTCAATAGTCCGAATAATGTAAATAGTGTACATAATACCTCATCGCAGGAATGTAGACAGATACTGAAAGGCCGAAACGTTGTAATAAATATGGCAACAAAGATGAGGACAATAGTCCGAGTAATGTAAATAGTATACATAATACCTCATCGCAGGAATATACACAAATACATAAAAGGAGCAGATAGTTTCTTTAACAGGAATTAACAGGAGATAACTGACAACTGACATCCATTAGACATGGCACGTGGAACTAGAAAAGTCTACCCAGCGAGCGAAATAAAGGGTTCAGTTCGACATTCCAACCACCTGAAGAAGGCCGGAGCGTACAACGGCCGAAACATTGTGATGAGGACAATAGTCCGAATAATTTTCTGAGAAATAAAATAATTTTTCCACAAATAAGTCCTATTGTTTGACCAATAGATGGGGGAGTAAATGGATTCATGCCGTTCTATTCGAGCGTGACACTCTGGTCTTAGGAATATGTTTCCCATCCATGTATAAATAGCGGTGTCCATAGGCGATGATATACACTAATTAAGCAGATTAAGTGGTTTAGATTAATTGATCCAGTGATAAGAGTAAGTCGGAACTGAAACCAAATTTAACTCGCAGTTAACGAGATAAATTGAGTATAAGACAAGAACTCCTCACCTCCATCTTGTGATCACTTCGTTGAATAGGAAAAGAACCATAACGATTCGGCACTTGCCGGACGGTTAGCCTTAGAAAATAACTGATACTAGAAAAGGCTAAAAACCTTGAACTAAAATACTCAAGGAAAGATTAAGAATAAACTGTAGAATGTCTGGCGGGGAGGAAGAGAGAAAAAAAAACAAGTGGTGAGCATCAAATTGGAGATGTCAAAAATCAAACAAGTACAGATGTTTAAATATCTGGGAAGTGTTTTAAAATTCAGCAATAAAAGCAGTGGATTTTCGGCAATACTTGCATGCACACAACACAACACAAAAAATGCCAACATGAAAAATAAATATCATATGGTTCAATCTACCGTAAAACAAAAACAAAACAAACGTAAGAAAAATATTAATTAAACTCGTACATGATCAGTCTATGGCATTCTTAGCATCCTTCTGTAGAATCAAATTTCAGTTGCTTCATAGCAGTATTTCATCTTTGAGGAGATTTTCCAGCATTCGGTACCATATAAATATGCTGATATATATATATATATATGTATGTATGGTAACCGAAAAAATCCTTGTCATTTTTTGACGTCGGGTGGGAAGAAAGGGATCACTGATGCGAAAACGAGTGCTTCCCGTGCTGGGAAAGAGGTAAGGTGATTGTGGGTCATTGCCCTTGACCAATGGAGGTGCGTTGCGCACACACATCAGCCAAAGCTTGAGCAGCAGCGAGGAAACATGGCGGTGTCAAAGTAGCTTGTTCAGGGTTGCTTGCTTTATGACTTTAAGGTAGCGACTTTGGATCGCACAGACAGGGTTCTCCCCTCTCCCCGTACCACTCCTCCTGCACGTTTGGGTCATTGATTTTGAAACCTCAGTATTAAACAAAAAACTTGAAAAATATAATCGTAATGGTAATATTAGCATTTTTCCTTAGAAGGAAACATTTGGCATTCATCTACTTGAGGTACGCTTTTTTCCTCACATCCAGGCCATTCTACAATGTTCCGACGAGCTACATTCATTAGCACCATCAATTCTGACCTTTGCCACCAAAAGCTGCCAAATCATGTACACAGGACCGAAGTATCCTCCTCTTTGTATTCTATTGGCAAGAAGAACGTTCAATTCGGACAGCTTCTTTTCAATAGCCGCTGCTTTCTGCAATAGACTCACCAGAGGATGCTTCCCTGAAGAGATCATAGGTAGATATATAATCACTCACCCGAGCAGTAAAAGAAAACTCTTACATCCGCGCGAGAATGTAGAATCCCCAAACTCTCAAAGCCACACATCTACTCGCCGACAGTAACGGAATAGTCTAGAGTTGGGTAAACAAAAACGTTACGTTTGGGGATATAGTCACGTGTTCTTATTGGTTTGCGTCCAATAAAATTACAGGAGCTTTTATTTCAGTATGTCTATATTTCTGAGATGAGGTATTATGTACACTATTTACATTATTCGGACTATTGTCCTCATCTTTGTCGCCATATTTATTACAATGTTTCGGCCTTTCAGTATCTGTTTATATTTCTGAGATGAGGTATTATGTGTTATTTATTTACATTATTCGGACTATTTCCTAATCTTTGTCGCCATATTTATACAACGTTTTGGCTGTTTGTACGATCCGGCCTTCTTCAGGTGGTTGGAATGTCGAACTGAACCCTTTATTTCGCTTTAAAAATAGACTGTTTAGTTCCACATCTGAAACATTTTTTAATGGATCATTTCGTTATCAGTTATCTCCTGTTAAAGCCATACCTTATCTGAAAGTTCTCCACTGCCTTAACCGGGTATTGAACTCACGCTCTTTTGGGTCCTGTCAATGGATCTAACGCCTTTATCCACTGTGCCATGTGTCCTTGAGGACAGTCTACCCCAGCGAGCGAAATAAAGGGTTCAATTCGACATTCCAACCACCTGAAGAAGGCCGGAGCGTACAACGGCCGAAACGATGTAATGAATATAGCGACAAAGATGAGGACAATAGTCCGAATAATGTAAATAGTGAGGTTTTATTTGTCATACGATTACTCACTATTAATGTAACATACAGATCTGTATATCTTCCTATATCGCATTTTACTGGCTGTATTTGTAAGCGTCCATCTAAAATGTTGTCATTTTAACACTTAACTTTTTATAACACTGTTGTCTGGCTGTACAGGTCCATTTTTGCAAAAGGAAGGAATTGCCATTTACTGGAACTAAATTACTAAAAAGATGCTGAGAGCAATTTCTCATAAGTGCCGCCATTTTGATTGTTTACACTGCAGTACAAACAAAGCTAAACCACATACCCAAGACACAATACAATAACAAAAACACGCAACAAAACTGGTCGTAATGAATATTACCAAAAATCGCGTTTGTTGGAAAACACACACACACACACACTTATATAAATATATATATATAGCAAGCCATGTAGGTATCTTAAAAACGTTTATGTACGTCTACCGCAACGAAAGTGTTTTGATGATTTGCATTACACAGATACACAAACACACACAAATGGAAACTGCGCTTCTGTCGGGTAGAGGATCACTTTATTCACGATCAAATAAAAAAAAAATGAAAAAAAACAATTCTATTCAAATATTAATCTTCTCTGCTCATCAATCGGCTGAGTTAGCCTGAAAATAGAGAATACTTTAGTAACAGTAGAATGGTATGTAAACAAATCTTCGTTTGGAATGCATAGAATCGTTAGACAACATCTGTATCTCGCTGTCTGTTATGTTGGCAAGTAGACAAGCTGGAAGCCATGACGACGAGGTTAACTACGAGCAAAAACCGGAACCAGTTTTTTTCTCTCTTATGCCCTACGATTACTTTGAGCAAAAATTAGCGAAAAGAAGCCGAACGAGTTCATCTTGAAAACATTAAAGAAGAAGAAGAGAAATATTTTTAAAGAAGAAGGAAGAAGAAAAGGGAAAAAGAAGAAGGAAGAAAGAAGAGAAAAGAAGAAGAAGAAAAAGAAAAAGATAAGAAAAGAAGAAAGAAGAAAAGGAGAAAGCAGGAGAAAAGAAAAGAAGAAGAAGAGAAAAGAAGAAGAAGAAGAAGAAGAAGAAGAAGAAGAAGAAGACAGGAGAAAGAAGAAGAGAAAACGAAGAAGAAGAAAAGGAGAAAGCAGGAGAAAGAAAAAGAAAAAAAGAAGAAGAAGAAGAAAGAAGAAGAGAAGAGAAAGAAGAAGAGAAAAAAAGAAGAGAAAAGGAGAAGAGAAAAAGAGAAGAAGAGAAAGGAGATGAAGAGAAAAAGAAGAGAAAGCGGAAGAAGAAGCTGAAAAAGATTATTGTTTGAATCAGTGTTGTAGCAATTCCATTTAGAGCACAGCTTGATTTTCATTGGTCGATATTCTGCTCACCTCAAGCATTTGCTGTCATGGTAGCGATCTCCTCGGAGGCAAGGACATTTCGTCATCCGAAGGTCGACTACGTTAACAAGTAACTTCCCAAACTAATTAAACCTATTCTTTTGCATTTTGCTCTCTTAGCTAAAGCGGTATGAGCTTATTTGATAAAACAAATTCAATATCTTGTGATTATTAGTATTAAAGGGTATGTAGCGTCAAACACATAAATGCGAAGGACTGAATAACGGACATTCAGATAATTTGAAATTTGAATTTTATTATATATATATATATATATATATATATATATTTAATTTTTTTGCTATTGGTATATATTAAACACTATTTACATTGTTCGCACTGTTGTCCTTATCTTTTTGTCATATTCACGAAAATATTTGTATTAATAAGACATTCTTCATATACAATTTGGGAAAAGAACTTTAAAGACTTCCACGGGGGGTAGATTGTTCTAGTTCCACATGCCATGCATTTTCTGGTTAAAAAAGTTTCAGTTTTTTCCAAAAACACAAAAAAAAAAAGTTTTTGTTCACCTCTGCTGTGGCCGGGTATTGAACTCACAACTCCTTGGGTCAAGTCACTGGATTACTTCAACCAACGCTTTTATACACTGATGAAGGCCGGAGCGGACAACGGCCAAAACGTCGTGAATATGGCAATAAAGATGAGGGCAACAGTTCGAACAACGTAAATAGTGCAACCAGTTACAATACCTTATCTCAGAAATATAGACAGATCCTACCTTTAAATAAACACAACGGCCGAAACGTTGTATATAGCAATAAAGATGAGGACAAAATGAGCCTTATAGAATTTATAATTTACTGAAGTTTTACAAAATTCAATCAAATTAACAAATATCTGGATCATATTTTGCTTACACTTTTGTTCGTGAAACAACTTCTAAAAAGCCAACAAAAAATGTTTGTGGCATATTTTCTCCTCCTTTTCAGTGTAAGTTCCCAAATATTGCAAAAATTTAAATCGGCAAAATATTGGAAAATTCTTCTCGATAAAATGTCGGACAGGTCTATTTTGGAACCGCGGTATTGCACTCAATTTGAAAGTTGGGGTTTAACATGATAAATAAGAAAACAGTATTTTCCCCAAATCGTTACCATTTTTGAGGAAACGAGTTTAAATATCAAAGTTTAGGTCAAAAACAAAATTATAAATTGGAATTTAATTTCCTGATGAGTGAATGAAAATAATTTTGATCCAAAAATATTTATATTAATTTCCTGAAAATTTATAAATTGTATCTGGAATAGAATATAGTTATTGATAATTATTACTAAATCATTGTGCCATCAAATAAAACCTTATTTTTTTATCAAAGAACTCAAATTATACTGAATATATATTTTTTTAAGCGTTTCACCCAAAGCAAGGCGTAAAGCCACTAGCACGCAAGGGGTTACAGAGAATTGGAGTGAGACCAAATAGGAGTGATAGAGGAAAGGATGAAGAGAAGGATAGGGGGATAGATCAAGGCATCTGGAGACGTCGATTGACATTACATTTGAATAGTTGGAGATTATAGCTATCAGGGAAACAGGAAAAGGGGAGGGAGTTCCACAGGCGAGAGGTGCGAGACATGAGGCTATTGAAGTTGAAGAGACGGCTACATTTAACAGTTTCGACAGTGAAAGGGTCAGAGCGAGATGCCAGCCTAGTAGAACGCTTGAATTCATGAAGTGTGGGGACCATCGAAATCAGCTTATTGGAGAAGTTACCATGAAGGTATTTGTAAAAAAGACAGAGGGAGGCAACGGTGCGTCTGTTAGAGAACGACTGCAAACGAGATGCCAGATCAGGGCCAATTACATTGCATATCCGTCTCTGGATCTTATCAAGAACCTTGTGAGAAACAGAACGGACTATATATTGCAGCAATACTCCATGCACGGGCGAATGGTTGATTTGTAGATATGAAGGATAGACTCCGGCGAGAAAAATTTCCAGGCGCGGCACAGGGAGCCAACTTTGTTTGCGGTGGACTCAGAAATTTATGATTTTTCAATGTATTTGTTCCATCTCAGGTCAGCAGTTTATTTATATATTAAATATACATTAATGTTCAAAAAATGTTTATTCAGTATTATTATTATTTAGGTATATAATATATAATTATATTTTTAAAAAAGGAATTTTCGACAATATATTCAAATTTTTTTACAAATTTATGGTTATTTTTTAAACTTTTTTATCAAAAAAAGGATATTTTGTACATATAGTTATGGATAATATTATAAATTAATTACTTTTTTTTTTAAATTCATAATAATATTTGTGCTCAGTTGTTGACATTAAAAGCTATCTGTTGATGTGTTAAAATTTTGGAATCAGGCAAGGAAAAAAAATTTAAATTTCTATTTCCGATAGATATGGCGATTGTAAATTTTCAATATAGTTAGAACAGTCAAAAACAAAAAAAATTCAATTAATATATATATATATATATATATATATATATATATATATATAGCACACACAGTGCCAGATCAGGGCCAAATTCATTGCATATAAAAAATTGGATCTTGTTGAAGAACATATATTTCAAAAAAGATTTTATTTTCAGGGTAATATATATATATATATATATTTTGAATATATATATAAAATATATATATAATATATATATATATATATAAATATAAATATATATATATAATATAAAATAAATATATATATAAAATATAAAATATAAAATATATATATATAAAAATCAAAAACATATATATATATTGAAAATAAATAAAAAATATATATATATATATTATAAAAAATATATCGAATATTAATGTATAATGATTTTTATGTTATTATATAAAATAAAAAAAAGTATAATAAAATATTAAATATATTATCAAATAAAATATATATATGCCGAACAAAAATAAAATAAATTTAATTACATTATATAAATTTTTTAAATATATAATAAATATTAAATATCTATAAAAAATATATATATATATATATTTATAAATATAAAATATTTTATATATATATACCAATATAATAAAAAAATATATATATATATTATAAAAAATTGAAAATATATATATATTAAGTGAATAGGCAAATTATAAATCTTTATTTAAATTACTAATATATATTATAATTTATGCTATAAATATAATTATATATATAAATAAATTACTGCATTAATTATAAAATATATAAATATATTGGAAATAATTGTTTTTATAAACATCTGTTATATATATAAAAAAAATTATAAAAAAAAAATATATATATCAATCTTATAAAATATAAATATATATAATATAAAAACCAAAATAAATATATATGTTTTTTATTAAAAAAATTCAAATATATATATATTATATTACCATATATATTAAATATTTATATAAAAAATATATATATATATATATATATATATATATAAATATAGTTTATATATATATATATTATATATTTATAAATATAAAAAAAATATATATATAAATTTATATTATATATATATAAAATATAAAAAAAAAACAAATAAATAAAATAAAAAAATGTTAATATAAACATACATTAAAATAAAAATATATATAGATTTAAAATATATATATATATTGTATATATATATATATATAAATTATTTATATATATAAAATATATAAAATATATAGATAAATAAAAGAAATATAAAAATTATAAATATAAAAAAATATATATATATATTTGATATATTTATATATATTTGTATATCATTTAATATATAAATATTATAAATATATATATAAAAAAAAGATATATAATAAATATATTTAAATAATAAAAAAAAATATAAAAACATATATAACATATATATATATATACAAAAAAATAAATATAAATAAAAAAAATATATTATATAAATTATAAAAATATTTTATAGGAATAAAATTATATAAAAATAAACCAAAAATATATAAAAATATTACGGCAAAATATATATATAAAAAAAATATTTAAATATATTCATATCAGGGAAAAACAGTTATATAAATAAATTATATAATTAAAAAATAAAATATATAATAAAATATAAATATATATTATATATGTCAAAATTATATATATATAATATCATATATAAAAAATATATATATAAAAATATAATATATAAAATATATATATAAAAATATATAAATAAAATATATATATAATATTTTATATATATAAATAAAATATTTATAATATAAATATAAACATATAAAGTTTAAATTATATATAAAAAATTAAAAAAATATAAATATATAAAAAATATATATATATAAATATACTTATAAATAAAAAATTATAAATATTTATATATTTAAAACAACGAATTAAAACATATAAATATATTTATAAAAAATATAATTTAATAATATTATATATATATATATATATATATATATATATATATAAAAAAAAAAATATTTTATATGATCTTTAATAAAAAATTCCTCACCTTGTGTTTACCTGGATTTCTATTTTGGGAATAATTTTTATATATATATATATATATATATAAAATATATATATTTAAAGGTTTCAAATGGTTAAAATGCTTTGTATTTGAATAAATGAATAAGTATTTTATTTAATCAAAAAAAAAAAAATTCTATTCACTATTTTGATACATTTTGACGGAAATTCAATCAAAAAGAATATCTCACATAAATGGAAAATTTTTTTTCAAATATATAAAAAAAATATGTTCCCTTTACATTAACCTAGAACACTAACCATCAATTAAAAGTTAAACCACTACTAACCATGGGTATATCATACCCGATTTTGAAAATATCAAAAAAAAATATATTAAATATAAATCTTTATTTGAAATATTTGACATGCCAGCCTTTCAAACATTGTACTTTGAGTTAACATTAATAGGAACAGAAAAACATTATTTAGGTAAGAAAATCAGGTACTGTAAATTGTAATTAAAAACAGGAAAATTTGCACTGGGTACTATATACCCATGGTTAGTGTTCTAGGGTTAAGCCAATTTGACCACCCCTGATCACGTTTTTGGGGTGCGTGTTTTTTTTTGTTG